TAATACCCCCTTATCCTTTCCCAATTACTAGAACTACAATTGCATTTTTCCCCATCTGGCAGGTCAGATCCATCCCTTGCGAGGCCCTTACATTTATTCTTCTCCCTCATCTGATTGCACCTAGATGTTGTGTATAGCAGAAATCCTTGTTGATCTGTAGGTTCATAATCATGCATTTTGTATTGCTGAAATTTATCCAACTCAATTCCATTACCTTTTTAAATTCTCCATAAGTGTTACCGATATAAATATTGCATAAGATCACAAGTATTGTTAGGAATGTCATTACTCACCACTCATCTCATTTCAGTGCTGCCTGGTTTTGTCCCCTCTTCTATGCGGTCCTATTCTCAAAGGGCAGATTTGTTCAAACACTTTTGCTGCTATATTCCAGTTCTTTCAGTATGCTGGAGTGGAGACTCCTGTACTCAGGAGAAATCCTGGTAATATTTGTACAACAGCTGGCAAAGAAATTCCAGACCTTTTCCATATCCAAGTATGCTGGTTTCCCTAATCAGTTTTCCCTTTGAAACAGAAAAGCTGAATCACAAACCTGCTTTTGTTTATCCTTTCATTTGATTTAAATAGAACCCATTTACGATCACCCAAGCTAGGATAATGTTTTTCAGCAACTTCTTTATCATATCCTTAACACTTACAAGAATCGTATTTGAAGTCGTATCGTCGCTTGTTGATTCAGGCACATTTTGATGAGAAAAATCTATTAGATATTATATCCAGGACTATCTGACCTTACATTTAATAGCATTTGCTCTCCAGTCTGTTATCTGGGATGTTTGTCTTCATATGCTAGTTCCCAATAATATGTCTCTCTTTAATAACACTACAAAGATTTTATGCAGATATGATTCTAATAAAAGAGAGAAGCCTTCTAGCACCAACCTGGCAGAACCTTTTATCCATGCTGTCCCTTTCTGGTTCCTTACAGCCTGTCCTATCATTAGCACAAGACAGAAAAGGAAGTAGTTGTCATACTTGGAATTTTCTGGATAATGCAGATGGATTTCAGAGAAGTAATTTACATCACTTCTGGTTGCAAGGAAGATCGAGAAGTTTGAAATCTCACCACCTTTTATGCTAGAAAAAACAAATAACACCGTGCCTGCCATTAGTTCTGTTTGCACAAGCGTTAGACTGCGCCACAGCCAGACAACAGCTCGAAGATAATAGCTGTGAAAGCTTATTTTATTATCACTGTTGGTCCCATCCGCAAAACATTTTCTACCATTATGAAAAATAGGCTCAGTGATACCCTTGAATCATCAGCTTTTGCTTATAGAAGCAAAACCAAGGCCTTGGAAATATTACTGTCAAAAAAAGCTGCCAGATCTTTCTCTCTGAAGAAGCCACAACTTGTTGAACTGCGAAGTCCTTCACAATACACAAGCCACAGCACTTCTATCACCACAAAGTAGCTGACCCTTGATACCACATGAATGTGGAATGGGTGGTGAAACACAATGAACTTTCTCACATCTGAGCACCATGGGAATAGCCCTGCCCTCCTCCACATCCAGCCCATGGAGAAGTGTGCCGTAAAACCAACATAAGTAGGTAACCGACTTCTTAAAAGGCAGCTTTCCTTCCTAGCACTTGGAAACATCCTCCTCCCACACAAACATGGCAGAGTTGATTTACAGCTTGTTTGGATTACACAGGTAGGAGCTGATTTGCTTTTGTCAGTTATCACTGAGAGGGTGAGAAAAACTAGTTTTATAGGAGGTAAAACCCGAGCTGACTCCAGGCCATAGGACTGCCCAGCTCCATCTAACAAGCTCGCTGGAGAGGTATAGTGTTGGCACAGCATCGGGGAAAAAATTTACCAGGTAAATAAACACAGTTCTGACAAACTCCATTGCTGGCCCTGGACAAGCCACTTCACTTCCTCTCTTCCTCCATTCAATAGTCACCAAGTAAAAGTAAAGTCTCCCTGAAGAGATAAGAAAGTAGTAGCACTTTGGTGGAAACATGGTAAAAAAAAATGAGGCTGGCCAAATGGGTGCAAGCCTTTACACAGATAAACCCACAGAACGCCCACTCGTTCACAGTCAACTTAAAGTTAGAAGTGCCCCCTACAAGACCTATATAAATATCTACAGGTTATACCTGTACAACTTCCTCATGCTGACAATCGCCAACTTATCCGTGAGCATTTCTAAGGGGAACTCAATGTCTGTAATCAGCTTTGAAGTGATGCATAAATACTCAAACATCCAGACAGCCCAAATCAGATTCTGGTGAGCAGTTGAGTGACTCTGCAGAGCTCTGATTAGTCTGAGCAGCTGGAAAGCAAATGACTAGGAAAGCTGTGGAGCCATCCCACCGGCATTTTACTTCCTTACCTAGGAAATCCAAGGCTAGGGGACAACTTCTTCCAGAATCAGCATCTAGGTTTGTAGATGTGGAAAGAAGGGCTCCCTTCAGAAAGGGCCTACCAGCAACCTGACTTGTCCTTCTGGTCTTTAATAGTGGCAAAGAGCTCCAGGCTGGGTGTTCTGCAATGGGACGGTATCTACCCGTCATGTGTCAGGCCTCAAACAGATGCATCCAGCACCAACTGTGAGCCTATTCACTGAAAGGATCCAAAAAGGAGGAGGGTGAAAAAAGAAACAGAGAAAGAGTAGCCAGCCCTCAAGGAGCACCCAGAACTCATTGTACTGCCAGACCTAGCGTAAGGCTGCCAAGTGCTGCAGCCAGGCGCTGCCAGCCTCCAGACAAGCCCCTGGCAGCCCCTCCTTGCTGGTAGTTAGAGGCAGAGAGAATTCCCTCTGAACTAGCTCACCGCGGGCTGCTCCCCACCTATTGCTGCATGAGCTCAGACAACGCACAGAACCTAATGGGCTTCTTACAGGGCACAGCCACCAGCCCGTGCTCCTTACGCCTTTGGGTCAAGGCCTTCCACACCGACATCTTTGCTTTTATTTTTCTGGTTTCTTTTGAAAAGAACTATTTCTATATGGAGGGGGGAAGCAGAGTCTGCATAGCGGAGAGGGCCTGAATCCTTTACCTTCGGGTGCAGCATATGCTTCTTGTGGCACCTCAATGACACAGCCTGCTCTGTGGGGAGGCTCTTTTTTCAAAGCGCTGCGGGAGGGTGAAGCAGGCTGCTTCCATGGTACTTGCTGCAAGTGCGAAACATTTTATAGCTGCAGATTTACATCCAGGGGCAGAGAAGTAGCCAGGAGTTTTAGTTAAAGTATTTGAATTTAAGGTGTTTGATCAGAGAAACCGCAGAAGATTCTCTCAGAGTTCTGGATGAAGCGGTAACCTCTCAGGAAATCAAGGGTGACAGCCACTCCGGGGTGTAACGACGACGTGCCCCCGCTGCGGGTGGAAGGCAGGGCAGGGTCCCGGTTCTGGTATAACAAGCCCAGGAGCACGCACATTTGCACATTTCCATCATTGCGGGATTTTTACCTCACCGAGCAATCTGGTAGCGCTTCCTTTCTCGAAATTGCCGTGTTGAAGCATCCATCTAATTTTCTATGCTCCTCCCGTAACTGAGTTCTTACTGCAAGCCTGGAAATAGAGATAGACTCCACCAGGTCTGTGCTGCCCAGGGTTAAGTCTTCTCCTCACACCTCCCGGTACGCACATTACCAGACAGCACAAGAACGTGCTCTCCCCTTACCTAGCGGCAGCAGGACTTCAGCATCACTTGCAAAACATTTTGCAAATCTCTGATGGCAGGTGCAATAGAAACATTATTTACTACTATATTTTCCTGGCGGCTTTCCTAGATCTTCCTTGGAGCAGATGGAGAATGAGCAGCACTAACACCGAAGCTGCGGGTGCAATCATTCACACATGCCTAATACTCCTCTGAGTAGCAATCACTTCTTTCAGTATGGAAAAGCGTGCTTACTATTGGTACTACAACAGCCAGAGTCTTCCCTTACACGGCAACCCAGAAGATACTATTCACAGGTGCTCCCCTAGGCAGTTAGGAAGGGGCTTGTTACTGCCAGGAGCTGCAAGGCTGAGAGTTACAGCAAAGGAGCATTGAGGAGGAAAAAATATGTGAAGTATTTTCCTCCACCCCCAGGGGAGAGGTCACAATCCGATTACCATGAAGCAGGGGGAAGGGGGGGAAGAAGGCTTTGAGTATTGTAATCAACCTTATGGGAACAAGGAAATACTCTGTTTCTTGAAGAATAGAGTGAGAAAACAGATGCATTAGAAATCCCAAATCCTCAGCACACATGACTCACCTTAAAATCCCCTCTGATACTTCCTCACCTTTCATTTCACAGCCCCTGACAGACAGCAAGAGCACGTTCCCCCTGCGTGAGCCAGAGACGCAGTTTGCTCAGCCTAGGAGGTCAGCAGCAGGCACAGACCATACCGTCATGGGGAATGTTTCGCTGGGCGTAACCGTGCGGTGCCCTGCATGGCTGTGCTCAACCTGAAACATGAGTAAGGGTTTCCTGGATTAGTCCAGATTTCTTGTAAAAAGTGACAGAACAAATAGAAAGGGGAAAAAAAAACCCTCAGAGCAATTTGAAAATATTCGTACAGTGAAGACTGGTGGTACACCAGCTCAGTTGCAGCAATTCAAATGCGTAGCCTAGTGTATGCTGGCATTCCTTTCCCATGTGGACAGGGTTCCCAAAGCTAATACTCTGCAGTATCCTGTACCCACTGATTTTGTTGTGGCCATCCCAGCCAGGCAGGCAAGCAGAATACCAGTCACTTGCATTTGAGCCTCGCTCTTTAGCTCTAAGGACAACGGTGGGAATAAACACCTATCTCAGCCTTGAAAAAGGTCAATGCAAGATCTGTTCATATTCTCTGCTTCCCTTCCTCCTCGGCCTCCCTCCAGGCTTTGCAGAAGCAGGTGCAGGTGGCAAACTGTCCTTCTGCGGGGGGGGTGGGACAGGGCATTGCCCAGGTCCCTTCTTCCCATATAACCACATCACCCTGTCTGCTCCTTCGGAGGGCAGGCAGCTCCCTCTCCTGGTGGAGGGCCATCTGCCACCTTCAGCTCACCCACGGACACGATTGCAATGAGGACCACGTTCCCCAGTCCCCTGTCTTCTGTCCATAGGAGCTAATCTGGCAAGCACAGACTGACTTCTCTGCATATGACCAACACTCTCCAGATGAAAAGTAAAAATAGAAAAAAAAAATAGAAGAGAGCATCTGGTAAATGTCTTTCATCTACATCAGATAGCCTTCACCCTGCAGTTGAACCTCAGGCCAGGTTAGTTTGCAATTATTTCTAGGTGAAGGAAATGCTTGGAGATAAAAGAGGTGGTGAGTTACCTGCATTTCAGTCAGCCCCAGTGGACAGTGGGGCCGCATTCTTCTCCCCCATACGACCTCTCCCACATATGGTGAAAAACCATCACTGCCACATGGTGCTTCATGTGAAATGAGAAAACACAATGTGCAGTAGAAATCCCCACGTGGCAGATGGGGGTCTGTGGCACAGAGTAATTATATGACTTGCTAAAGGTCTCACTGTAAGTCTGCAGCAAAGCCAAGGACTGAATCGAGATGTCAAATGCCAGTAACGCTCCTGTGCTTTCCCCAGGGGACTATCTAAAAATCAAGGCTATCAAAGTTCACCTAGATGATACAGGCATGGAAAAAAAAATACTTTCCCTGCCAAATTCTATCCTTCCCTCCATTTTTCAGAAGGTATCCCTGTCCATTCCTCCCCTGACCTCTAGTGGTTTAGGCTTTGTCCAAAGTAGAAGAATGACTAAGCTGAATTGAAAAGTGACTATGCTAGTTCTGGCCCAGTAAAACGCAGTCTTTCTCTAGTAAAAACAAGTGTATAAACAGAAACTGAATCCCAACAGCCTCCAAATGGCATTGGGAACTTGTAGAGTTTGAGCTAGACACGCCTGGTTTGTTTTTACTATTTGTAAGCCCGTTTCTGCAGAAAGCAAAAAAAGTTTTTCAGAGGAAATCTTAACCTTGGTTTAGCCCTTCCTAAGCTCATGCATGTGCAGGTTTCTAAGGAACCGGTCTGTTCTTCTTGCAGACTGAACATGGGAGGCGGAAGAATTCAGGAGGTGCCAGATCATACAGGGACATCAGAACTTGGGACAGTCTCCTCAGAGACATGCGCCAGCACAGTAGTAGCCAACTAAAACAATCGTGTTCCTGTAACCCAGATGTGATTGCCTGGAAAATATCCTCGCGTGGGTAAGTAGATAAAAACATCTCATGCTTTAGTTTTGAGCTTTCTGGGCAGAGAGTGCCATAGATATACAAACTACTGTTTGCTACTGCATCAAGTGCGTAGGATGCTTTATGAAGTCTGGATACTTTATGAAGAAATAAGACTTGAACCAGAACATGCCTGATATCCAGTTTCTTTAATGAATTAATGCACTGCTTGTAAAGACAACTACAAGGTCATCATGCCTTAGCTCTAATTGCCGTATGACACAAGTATGGATATGTCAACAGAAAGCCAGGAGCTACTAAGGGAAGGTACATATTTCCAAAAGGATTTGCCCCGTCTAATTGAACTTACCATCATAACTTGGGCCAAAGCCTCCTCTTCCATTTCATGTCTACATCTCAAAAAAAAAGGGGCAAGGAAAAGAACATATTCCCCCCTTCTTACACATTGGCCATTGCAAACAGAGCCCAGACAAAGGAAGAAGGCCGGCTCACCTATCCAGATAACTTGGAAATAGTCAAAACATGCTTTTAGCTGCATCCTATTCTCCTGTTACCTTGGTCTTCAGGCCACTCAGGGAGTGACTGCCACTGCTCTGTAAGGGATCCAGTGCACACCTAGCCCTATATGCTGAATAATTAATACTGAACATGTTCACAGATTGAATTTTCCTTCTACTGTCTCCATGTATTTCACTCATTGATGATGAGGGACCTCACCGAGCTGTTAAGCACTAAACCCTCCCCCCGGGAGCTGACCTCAACTGCCTGCACTGCGAGGAGCAGGGGAACACCTCACACAATAAGCCTTACAGGAATATTGGAATTGCTCCCGCTGGTGATGCTGCCTCAGAAATCGTGCTATACGGTCCCTGCCAGAACAGGGCACTAGTAGTCCAGGAGCCTGCTTTGGGTACTAAAGTGCTGTACCTTTGACGAAGTACACCATTTCCTATCCAGTTTCCTTGGCAGCCTCATTTCAGGTTAAAGAACAAAGAGGATACTTATCCTCTTCTAACTGGAAGATGGCAAGCGCTTTATAGATGTTGCTGTATGCACTGGTAAGTGCTATTTGTCTCCTGGGAGTGCTCCCTCTATGCCTGCCGTGGTCCTTTAGATGGAGGAAGGTATAGTCTGTTTTTTTCGGAGCTGCCTTATGTATATGGGCTTCCATTCACCTACATACAGCCTCTGAGCTCTATCTTCTTTTCAGGTTAGTGCCAGAATGAGAAGGCTGTTAGGTTGTAGATAGCTAACTTCTTTTAGTTAACAGAACAAAAAAAAAAAATTGCCTAGAGACAGCCCAGCTTTTTTAGTTTCTATTTTCCAGCAGAAAACAAAACCAAAACAAAATTTCAGTAGAACACATTTAAAAATTTGTTAAATCTAACTAAATTTCTACACTATGCATTGTTTTCAAATGAAAAGTGTTTTCCAGCCAAAAGAACAAGTTCAGCAAAACTCAGACCTGCATTTTGAGGAAACATAGGAATGTGGTACTACTTGAGGGTTACATGAAGGCACAGCGTACTGCACACTAATTAATTTGTCTTAACATATCACACTAAGATATAATAAGGATAGAGCATTTACAGCAGCATCTCCAAGTTTTCTCTGAACGTAAAACCCCTTTCTGCTAAGAACCAATAGTTACAGTACAGTTATTTTGGATCAGTATGTTACCAACCATCTCAACAGATCAGGCAGAGCAAACAAGCATCAAGAAAAAGCAGTATTAGCAGATCTGGAATTCAAACTCAGTCCAATACGTA